ATCCTTACTAGTGGCAGAGATGTGGAAACATAGGTCAACTGGATAAACGCAGAAGACTTCCAAAGAACATATTCCACACCTGTTTTTTGCAAATTTCATCAGATGTTCAAACCATTTCGAGACAATCCACAGCTCTTACCTCATTGTAAAGTACATGCCTTTTTCCCAGAGGGCGATAGAGTCAATGCCTCCCCTGGGACATGCTTATGGGATTCAATGACTTCTGCTACTGCAAGTGTGGGAAGAAGTGTCATCAGAATTCCCTACCATGAACTGCTAGGGATGCATGACTAACATCAAACCTATTTGGGTTGTTGGCAAGGTCTAACCTAGTCCTGACATATTTCTTATGAAACAATCTTCAAAGCAGCAGCTATCTGTCCTTTCTTTGTATTAGTGGAGGAGACACAGTGTTTTGGATGGCTTTACATTTTGATGGAATGGGAGGAAAGGAGAGAAATGGAGCAGAAGCTATACAGCCTGGAGATACTCTAAACATAACACATGCCACATGGGACGTAGAATCCTTTGACACCTAAAAATGTCTGCAGATAGGTATGAATTGTATCTGAGATAAACACAGAACTAAATACAATAGTTGGTTTTGTCATTTCATTGGGCTAAAAAAAAAAAAAAGCCCAACCAAACAAAACCCTATTTTATTTGCATCCTTCTGCAGTCTGTTAGCTTCTCAGGAAGAGGCTTTTCTTACTTAAACCAAAAAGCTACAAGGTCACAGGTGGACACTCTCTTATTGATCCACCTGTACAGAAAAACAAAATAAAAATAAAGAGGTCCTCACCCTTAATTTGTCACCATTATCAGCAGTTCCTTACCATCATGCCTCTGTCTTAAGGCATCACCCAGATGAGGTGAATGTTTAGCCACCGTAATTAGTTGCAGGTAAACTACTTTAGTTAACCCGAGACTGATTCTGTCTGAAGATTGATGTCAGGATGTACTTGTATGAACCAGAGAGAAGGAAGCCAGCAGAATAAAGAAGTATTTCTATTAATTGAGCAGTAATGAGCACCAGAGTCCATTACCTCTGTCACCACAAGAGAAGTATCTCCCTCATCCAGGAGAGAACCCCTGCCAAACCCAGGAACAGGCACAGTGATCTGCAGCCAGCAGAGAGGACTCTCTATGGCTTCATGTCTTTAATTGTCCCTGCAGACTTCTCCCTTTCATTCAGCCTTATACTGTGCAGCCTCACAGGAGTCTCGGGCTTTGAAGAATAAAAATCGTAAGAGCAGCTGCCTCCTACATTTTGCAGATGGGAGTAGAAAACCCTGCAAACTTCTTAATCAGTGAAAACAGGACTAATAGAGCAGTAATTATACCTCAAAACCTTTCTGCAGGGATTCTGGCAACAACTTTGTTCCACATTCTGATTAGATGTCTAACTGATCCTTTCTTTCATTCCTGCTGCTGCTCTAAAATCTTGCTCAGGTCTACATACAGAATCATAGAATAGTTAGGGTTGGAAAGGACCTTAAGATCATCCACTTCCAGCCCCCCTGCCATGGGCAGGGACACCTCACACTAAACCATATCATCCAAGGCCTCGTCCAACCTGGCCTTGAACACTGCCAGGGATGGAGCATTCACAACCTCCCTGGGCAACCCATTCCAGTGCCTCACCACCCTAACAGGAAAGAATTTCCTCCTTATATCCAATCTAAACTTCCCCTGTTTAAGTTTTAACCCATTACCCCCTGTCCTATCACTACAGTTCCTAATGAAGAGTCCCTCCCCAGCATCCCTATAGGCCCCCTTCAGATACTGGAAGGCTGCTATGAGGTCTCCACGCAGCCTTCTCTTCTCCAGGCTGAACAGCCCCAACTTTCTCAGCCTATCTTCATACGGGAGGTGCTCCAGTTCCCTGATAATCCTTGTGGCCCTTCTCTGGACTTGTTCCAACAGTTCCATGTCCTTTTTATGTTGAGGTCACCAGAACTGCTGTTACATGCTGGTCAATTATCCTGGGTTCAGCTGTAACAGTTATTTTTCTCCTTCTTTGCAGCTGGTGCAGTGCTGTGTTTTCAACTTTAGTCTGGGAACAACGTTGATAATACATCGATGTTTTTAGCTATTGCTAAGTAATGTTTACTCCAATCAAGGACTTTTCAGTCTCATGCTCTGCTAGTGAGGAGGGACACAGGAAGATGGGAGGAAGCAGAGACAGGACATCTGACCCAAAGCAGCCAAAGGGGTATTCCATACCACAGCATATCATGACCAGTATATAAACTGGGGGGAGTTACCCAGAAGACCCTGCTTGGGTAGGGCTGGGTATCGGTCGGCGGGTGGTAAGCAATTGCATTGTGCATCACTTGTGTTTATTGTTTTCTTTTACCCTTTTATATTCTCTCTCCTTGTCATTTCCTTTATATTCATTATTATTATTGGAGGTAGCAGTAGTAGTTTTGTGTTATACCTTAGTTACTGGACTGTTCTTATCTCAACCCGTGGGAGTTGCATCTTTTGATTCTCCTCCCCAGCCCTGTGGGAGCTGGGAGGAAAAAGTGTGGGGGAAAGTGAGCGAGTGGCTGTGGGGTTCTGAGTTACCAGCTGGGCTTAAACCATGACATCGATACAGGTTTTTTAGAACTTCCCAGTGATATCTGTCAATCAATTCCAATCCAACAATCAGTGAGCAGAGACTAAGATAAATCATACCCAGAATTTAACAACAGGTTTTGTTAGAAGGGTGTAACAGAGACCAAAGATTAATTTATTAAAGGCAGTCATAAGTAGTAAAAACAAGTATCAGGGAGTGTTGTTACCATAATATGTACAGAAAAAAATACTTTTCACAAAGGAAAAAAATAAAAAAAGCTTACTTCTATAACTGCTTACTCTGCTCTACGTGTAGAGCAGAATATATTTTGACTTAGGCTTCCACATACGCTCATAATCTTAATTTTGAAACTCCAGGTTCATTTTCCTTAGTTGGAATGAATACTTGAACAGAATAGGCATTTGTTGACTGTACTTGACGCTTCTGTATTCTTTGTTGTTCTTTTTCCTACTTCTAAACACAGTTATTGAACCAGATGATACAGCTTTCACCTGTATCTCCCAATTTATGATGCCTTATAATGTAAAGGATTTTTGATGTTTGTTTACTGCTTAAAGCCCTTGTTATTAAATAGATTCTTTTTTGTTACAACTCTTCCTGTCTTTATTGAGTACCAGTCGTTCAAAGAAAACTTCAACTATTTTATATCAACTTAGATTCATAATACTCCCAGAAGCTCAGTTATGAACATTTTATAAGGAGTCATCTGGAGCACCAGGAGACAAGATAATCTGCCACAAGATCATTCAGCAAGCCTGTCTCACAGCTAAGAAAGAATCCAAGCTTCCTGATTTATCAGACCTGGACTCAGAATTCTTTTAAGTATCATTAGCTGCTGTTGTTGGGCTTTTCACCCTCTTACACACTGTAGGACACCTCTGCTTCCTAAAATCTAGGAGATATTATTACCCTGTTTGCGCAGAGGTCAAAGGTATAGGAAGGCTGCTCTGAGGTCTCACTGGAGCCTTCTCCTCTCCAGGCTGAACAGCCTCAGATCTCTCAGCCCGTCTTCACAGAAGTACCTCAAAGTACTCATCTCTCGGCTCCCAGCTGCACTCGCCAAACTCCTCAGGCTGTAACGGCAATGCCCGGGAGGGCTGTGAGACAGAGGCAGGCCATGCCACCGAAGTCTCAGCCTCCTCAGCAGCGGACGGGGCTCCGGGCTTCAGGTGCAGGCTCCTCCCGCCCGCACCAGAGGGCGAGGCTCCCGCCGCCGCCTCCCCGCGCCCCGCTCCGGGCGGGATGCGGGGCGCTCGCAAGCGGCTGTGCTCTGCCTTGGTAGCCGCTTACGTCCTCTTCTCACTGTACGCGGCCTACGCCGTCTTCCTCCGGCCCCGGCGCCCGGCTGCTTCCCGGCCGGCACACCGTGATCACCGCGGCCCGCGAGGTGAGAGCGGCGGTGGCGTGGCTCCGAGCCGCCTTGCCGCGGGCAAGCGGGCGGGCGGGCCTGGCTGCCACCGGCGGAGCCGCTGCGGGTGTGCGCCGGGGCCGAGGCGGTTTGTCAGGCACTGCCTGCGCCAGAAAGGCCCGGGCGCCCCGGGTGTGGGGGAGCGGCGGGGCCTTCCCGCGTTGTGTCCCTGGCCTGGAGAGCACGAGCCAGGCCGGAGGCAGCGTCTCGTCTGCCACCGCCTCTGCTCCGGAGCGCTGGGGGACAGCCCCTGAGGGAGACGGGGCCGCGGCTGAGCCCCGTCGCAGGCCCCGCGCTGGCGGCGGCCATTTCTCCGGTGCTTTCTAAGGCACCGGGCCCAGCGGAGGGAAAGCGCCCGGCCCGGGGTGGCTGGAACCTTGTCAGGGACTGCGTAGCATCATGAGCTGGAGAGAATCCGTCCGTTTGCTAAACTTGTCAGATTGTTGTTTTGGTGTTAATTACGCTTTTGGGTTCTTTAGATCATGTTGTCGTGGGAAATGAAGAGTGGAATCCATGGGAAGGGGACGAGAAGAGCGAGCTGGTTGCTTCTCAGCAAAGATATGAAGCTAATCTTAAGATGATAAAAA